GAGCTTATGGGTCAGGATTAAAGGGAGGGCAGAGACAGGTGACATTATAGTGGGGGTCTGCTACAGGCCACCTAACCAAGAAGATGGAGCAGATGAGGCCCTCTGTCAACAGATAGGAGCAGCCTCATTTTCACAAGCCCTGGTCCTCACGGGGGACTTCAACCACCCCAATATCCGTTGGAGGGACAACACAGCAGGGTATAAGCAATCTGGGAGGTTCCTGGAACATTTTGATGATAACTTCCTTCTCCAAGTGACAGAGGAGCCAACAGAGAGGTGCTATGCTGGACCTTTATTCTCACCAACAAGGAGGGACCAGTGGCAAATGTGAAGCTCAAGGGTAGTCTTGGCTGCAGTGACCATGAAAGGGTGGAGTTCAAGATCCTTAGGGCAGCGAGGAGGGCACACAGCAAGCTCACTACCCCGTACTTCTGGAGAGCAGACTTTGGCCTCTTCAGGGATCTGCTTGGTAGACTACCTTGGGATAAAGCCCTGGAGGGAAAAGGGGCCCAAGAAAGCTGGTTAATATTCAAAGATCACCTTCCCCAAGCTCAGGAGTGATGCATCCCAACAAAGAAGAAATCAGGCAAAAACACCAGGAGGCCTGCATGGATGAACAAGGAACTCCTGGACAAACTCAACCCCAAAAAGGAAGCCCATAGAGGGTGAAAGGAAGGACAGGAAGCCTAGAGGGAATACCGAGAAATTGTCCAAGCAGCCAGGGATCAGGTTAGGGAAGCTAAAGGCCTGATAGAATTAAACCTGGCCAGGGATGTCAAGGGCAACAGGAAAAGCTTCTATAGGTACGTCAGTGATAAAAGGAAGACTAGGGAAAATGCAGGCCCTCTCCAGAAGAAATGGGAGGCCTGATTACCCAGGATATAGAGAAGGCTGAGGTATTCAACGACTTTTTTGCCTCATTCTTCACCGGCAAGTGCTCTAGCCACACTGCCCAAGTCACAAGAAGGCAAAGGCAGGGACTGGGAGAATAAAGAACAGCCCACTGTTGGAGAAGATCAGGTTTCAGACCATCTAAGGAACCTGAAGGTGCACAAGTCCATGGGACCTGATGAGATACATCCACGGGTCCTGAGGGAACTGGCAGATGAAGTTTCTAAGCCAGTATCCATCATATTTGAGAAGTTGTAGCAGTCTGGTGAAGTTCCCACTGACTGGAAAAGGGGAAACATAACCCCCATTTTTAAAAAGGGAAAAAAGGAAGATCCAGGGAACTACAGGCCAGTCAGTCTCACCTCTGTGCTCAGCAAGATCAAGGAGCAGATTCTCCTAGAAACTGTGCTAAGGCACATGGAAATAAGGAGGTGACTGGTGACAGCCAACATGGCTTCACTAAGGGCAAATTGTGCCTGACAAATCTGGTGGTCTTCTACAATGGGGTTGCAGTGCTGCTGGATAAGGGAAGAGCAACTGACGTCATCTACCTGGACTTGTGCCAAGCATTTGACACTGTCCTGCATGACATCCTTATCTCTAAATTGCAGAGACATGGATTTGATGGATGAACTACTCAGTGGATAAGGAACTGGCTGGCTGGTCACACTGGAAGAGTTGTGGTCAATGGCTTGATGACCAAGTGGAGCCCAGTGATGAGTGGCGCTCCTCAGGGGTCAGTATCGGGACTAGTGCTGTTTAACATCTTCGTCAGCAACACAAACAGTGGGACTGAGTGCACCCTAAGCAAGTTTGCCAACAACACCAAGCTGTGTGGTGCAGTCGACATGCTGGAGGGAAGGGATGCAATCCAGAGGGACCTTGACAGGCTTGAGAGGTGGGCCTGTGTGAACCTTATGAAGTTCAACAAGGCCAAGTGCAAGGTCCCGCACATGGGTTGGGGCAATCCCAAGCACAAATACAGACTGGCTGGAGAATGGATTGAGAGCAGCCATGAGGAGAAGGAACCTGGGGTGCTGGTTGATGAGAAACTCAACATGACTCAGCAATGTGCACTTGCAGCCCAGGAAGCCAACTGTACCCTGGACTTCATCAAAAGAAGCGTGACCAGCAAGTCAAGGGAGATGATTCTCCCCCTCCACTCTTAGGAGACCCCACCTGGAGTACTGTGTCCAGCTCCGGGGTCCCCAACATAAGAAGGATATCGACCTGTTGGAGCAAGTCCAGAGGAGGGTCATGAAGATGATCATGAAGAGGCTGGAGCATCTCTCCTATGAAGACAAGCTGAGAGAGTTGGGGTCAGCCTAGAGAAGAGAAGGCTGCAGGGGGACCTTATATCGTGCTTTT